AAAATTAGATTAAAATGTTTTAATAAAGTGAAAATCCCTATTTGTTTTTAGATAATTCTATCAAAGCCAGATGCATTAGACTCTGGAAAGATGTGCTCTCAGTTTCTTGAACAAATTGCTAGAGGGGAGCTGCATTAGTATCTTTCAGCCTTCGATTATCCAGTTTTGCTGCTCCAACCATTCTGTGTCTTATTATAGGCAGAGTGTAATAACGTCAACATATTAAAATTCTTAAAAGTGGCTTGGAAGCTATTTTGTTATTTGGATTTTAATTTCTATTGTTTAATAACTTTCAGTTGTCCTCCATATTAGTTAAATTATGAAATAGTACCCCCTTCCAATTCCTAAACACAGTTGCAAAAGTGCCAGCCAGCATTCCTCTTCAAGGCTTCATTATAATGCCTCAGCTGCACACGTTGTATGGCTGGGTAAAGGGGCTCTGTGTAAAAGACTGCATTGCCTGAGCTCTTCCGCGCTGGGCGCAGACTGTCCTGCTTTGCAAAGAAACTCCAGAGCGCAGGCTGAGTGGAGAGGCACAGGTCTTGCTGATCTCATTTGAACTTGCCTCCGGATAAATATTCTAGCTGGCAAATGGAAACGGGACAAAAGGCCTCTAGCAACCGCCACTCGCTTTCTTTGGAAGAGAATCGGGCCCGTGTTGTGTCTTAACCAGCGGTTTCCTGCCGTGTCGCTGCCGGGACTTGCATTTCTCTGACAGCAGGGGGCGCGGGTCCCTTACTCTAAGCTAGCCCCAGAAAGTCTGCAGAAAGTCCTTAGCCTCGATCTTCGTGGTTCCGCGAGACCCGCCTCTTCCTACTCTGCCTGTCCGCTATCTGCCCCCTCCCGCCCTCTGCTTAGCAAGCCCTGGTGGAAAAAGAGCCGAGGGGGCGCTAAGGGGAAAAAAGAAAGGCGAGAAGAGATGGCTCGGTACCCGCGCGAAGACCCAAGAATTTAGCTGCTAAAGAAACGAGGGCAGGGAGAGAAAAACCGGGCGACCTCAATCTTTTGCAGCTCTGTTGCGGGGCTTGGGTTCTGGGGATCAAAGTTTGCAGCGAGTGGCCATCCCGGGAAGTCCGATCGCTCGTGAAGCCCAAAAGAGGGAACTTTGGACTGTCAGCGCAGCTCTATCTCAAATCCAGTGCTCCCAAAACAGAAGCCAATTTTTGCCCTGTCCCTCTTTGGCCCCACAACTTACGAGCTTTGTAACAGAGACTGTGTAATACACAAACTTCAAGGTCATCCTTCACCAAGCCAGTTGTGTGGCTGTACAAGCCCTGGACACGTGTCCAGGCAGATGCCTGCAAGTGTCGTTTTTAGTCCAATCCCATATGTCTCAATTCAGAAAGTGGCTAGAAAGCAGATCTCAGTGAATTCAAACATATCTAACTTCTGTGTAAAACTGTACCGTTAGGATTTGGTCGGGAAACTCTCTGCCGGGGAAAGAGGGTACTTTCTGGATGGGTAAAGCTTCTGGAAGCCTTCCCTGTCGCTTCCCTTAGCTGTAAACCTTTGAAGAACAGCAGAAGGTATGGACCAGCAGCTGTAAGCATCAAAGAAGTGGTGGAAAGGGTGAAGCAGCAGCCACAAAATAGAAGGTTGTGGTGGGTTTGACTTGTTAAATGAACTCAAGAGTAGTTAGCGCCAAAGCTGGTTTCACAGCTTCCTGCACAGTGGTGTGGGTGAAAAATGGAATGAACTGATGGGCTCACTTCATGCCAGATGTTGATGATGGTCTTGTGGAAGTGTGCAGAAGACTACCCTTTCCTGACCAGGAAACCTACTTCTACTGCAAGCTTTCCATTTGTCCCTTGGCTCCTCTGTGGCTCTTTCACCATGTTTCAGTTGGTTCCAGTATGCTTTTACAGTCCTTGAATTCCTCCTGATATTCTCCCCTAATTATACTACACCATTCTTACCTAGTTCCTAGCCCTGAATTTAGGCAATCTTTACTTTGCATTCCAGGTTTAACTAATCATCTTCCTGCTTAAAAAGACAGTGTTCCAGTACGAGAAGATATGTAAAAGGATGCAACTTCATAGCCTCCTTTGGTGACAGCTGGCCAGATGACCTGCTCTGAGTGTTGCCCTAGGTGTGCATGTATCTAGAGGTGTGATCATGCCCTCTTCCACCATTTCTTTTCCAGGGTTTCCCTCTCAGGTAGCAGTTCCAGGATCCTTTCCCTGCTCCCTTTGCCTCTTTGATTTAAATTGTTGAAATATTTAGCTATATATAAGCTCTGTCAGCACAGTTAGATGGTTGCACCTAGCTGACCTTAGCTGATCTCAAAAAGCTGAGTTAAATCAAGTAGTAGTTGAGTGGGAGATCTTCATGAAATTTTAGGGTGTAGACAAGATTGAGAGGGCCTTGGCTACATCCAGGTAGAAGGCAGCGGTACCCAACAATGACGTCACAAGAACTCACACTTGACTCAAAGGAAACTTTATCTCTAGCATAAGTCCTGTTGTTTCTCCAACTTACCTCTCTTTTTGTTTATCCTATCATCATCCATTCATCCACCACTCAGAAGCATACCCCACTGCAATATATCTCAGAAAAGGGATGATTTTATACAGTAATGAGATGTGGCATAGAGGAACCCAGAAAGGGAGAAATATTTCAAATACTCAATGCTTCCTTGTCAATTTCACTGGGTTTCTGTAATGCTGAATGGTCCCACAATCCCATAAAAATACAAGGAGCAAATAGGAGAGGGCCTGAATCTCTGGACAGGATATAAACAAATAGGTAATGATGCAAAAGTGAAATAACACATGTTGGAATGGCAAAATACATGCAACAGCCCTGCAGTTCCTGCTCCAGCTCTTTGATTGTACTTATTTCTCACCTACCAAAGGGGTAGTAAGAAAGGAGAATGAGACAAGGAGGGAAGATATATTGGTGCACCCACTAACAAAGGCAGCACAATTCAGCATGAAGCTGCTAGATATGATCCCAGAAGTCAATGATTCTGATAACCAGTATATAAGAGCAATGGCTTTTTTTGCTAACACTAGGAGGGGTGATGGCACTTTAAATCAGTTGTGGTGAAATGCTCAGTGGTATTCAGAAGAATAGGACCACTCCAGAGGGCTGTGGGTGGCAAGCACCTAAGATTGCAGTTGGATTGCTTTCTCCACACTGGGCTGATGCTTTGGCTGTGGTTTTTTTTTTTTTTTCATTTTGTTTTTGGGCCCTTAAGTCCTGGTACTGCTAAACAGGAATTTGAAGCAGTGTATTTATTTGAAGCAAAAGCAATTAATGGGATGAAAAACATTCTCTTTTCCTTTCACTTCACCCAGTGGCATTATAACAAACCATAATGATGACTCATGCATCATGATGTCATTGTGCTTAAGTAACTCCACCATGACTTGCATCATGTGTAATGACATCATGCCCCATCTGCCCCCTTTGCACACCCATTAATCCCCTACCAGTGAGGATAGAAAAGAAATGAAGGGAATCCAGAACCAAGACCCTCCCCTTTGTGGCAACACCTTCTCTGCATTTTGAGGAAACTGTATAAGGGAAGGCAACAGCCAGGCTTACCTCCTCTCTCTTGCTGATCCTCTCTAGGCACCATTTCAGGGAGGACTGGGCCCACAGTGCTGCCTAGCTCTCAATCAGTGGCATGCATTCCAATGATGGAATGCAGAACCAATCTAGGTGGGACCTAGAGTAAGTCTTTAAAACTTTACTCTGAGGAGGAATAGCAGAGTTGTTTCCTCTTCCTCACTCTGCTTGACTGTGGATCCTTCCCCACCACTAAATTTCAGTGCTATCCACCCAAGCTTGGGTCAGCACGAAACAGTGCTGGTAACAGCACTTGCTGTCCTCATTGCAAATCCATATTCTGCTTCTACTGTGCCTTGTTCCTAATCACTGCTGAATGGTATTGTCCTGACTTGTGAGTGTGCCAGTTGTAATATTTATTTATTTTATTTTATTTATTGGACTTGTCCCCAAGTCCAATAGCCAAGGTGATGTATTTTTCTTTCTTGCCTTTGGTGCTCTCCCCTTTCAGCACATTGCCAGCCAGCGGGGAAAACATCTGTCCATCAGACACCACAGCAGGAATTGACTATACCCAACTTTAGGACTTTGCCTCATTTTTTTTAGTCTGGTCTTGGTTGGTTTGTCTGCCTCTCCTCCTATATCTCATTTGGGCAGTTAAAGCAATGTGAAATAAAGAAATGTATGGGAAGACACAAAGTAGAAATAACTCCAGAAAAAAAGAGATGCAGATCCTATCATGATTGTGCAACTAACTGGGTTATATATAGAAGGAGAACTGAAATCACCTCTCTTATTTCATGGAGGTGGGGAAAGTGATTGAGACTGACAAATACAGGGAGAATGTTAAATAAGTAACTGAAGTCCAATTGAAAAGTGTCCATTAATTTCTGGATACCACACTGAGGAAAAGATGGGCGGATGCATCTATAAGTAGAGTTCTCCACGGATGCCATTTCAGAATACTGCAAAAATGGAATTGAGTAAATATGATTCCTCTTCTTCCCAAACTATAATAGAACTCTGCTCTCCTTTCCTCTGCCCAGTTGGAAGTCTGCAGAAATGTTAGTGTCAAAAACAGGGAAGGAAGAGGTGATGTGTATGAAAGGAAGTCTGGCAATAAAGTGGTAATGGAGAGAGCAAATACTGGAGAAGAAATGTTTATAGCAGTGTCTGGCTAATGGCCAAAAGAGAGAGACATACTTGCACCTCCCAATACTCCTCAAGGGCACCTCTAGTCAAACCCACAACAGGCCACTTGACCTCACCTCCAAGATAATGGATGAGAAAGTGTGGCAGATATTATATATCTTAAAACTGGTGGGATAGAATCATACAGTTGAAAGGGACCATACAACCCCCTGTTCAGCTAGTACAACCCCCCGTTCAGCTAGTACAACCCCCATTCAGTACAAGATTTGCTAGAAGATCTTTGGTAAATGACCACCCAGATCCTGTTTGAAAACTCTTATCTCCCCTAAACATACCTAAATCCTTTAGCCGTTCCTCGTAGGGTTTGGGATCCAGAGTATTCTTGGTAGTCCCTCTCTGAGTTTTCACCAATTTGTCCTCTTTGAACTGTGATGCCCAGAACTGCACAGTACCCCAAATGGAATCTGACCAGGGCAGAGTAGAGTGGGACAGTTATTTCCCATGATCTGTACACTATGCTCTTGTTAATGCATCCCAGGATAGCATTTGCCTTCCCAAATCACTTTTACATGTACCACTGCCAAGCTACATTTCCTCTGACTAGTGCCTTACGTTTTTCTTCCCCAGATGCAGAACTTTACATTTCTCCCTATTACATTCCATCCTGTTTATTCCAGCCCACTTCTTGAAACTGTTTAAATCTTCTGAATCTTCACTATTTCACCTCTGCAGTTTTGTGTCATCTGCAGACTTCATAAGTGTCTCAACCCCCTCATCCAACTCACTGATAAAAATATTGAACAGGACAGGGCCAGGTCAGAGCCCTGTGATATTCTGCTTGATACTTCTATACTGAAGAGGATTCATTCACAAACATGTTTGGGTGCACTTATTCAGCCAACTATGAAACCTACTAAGATTTGTATCATCTAGCCCATATTCTACTGTACCATTTTATGAAGGAGAATATCATGGGACACTCTGTCAAAGCTTTTGCTGAGATACAGTTACATTATATCTACAGCATTCCCCTGATCTACTAAGCAAGTAACTTTCTCAAAGAAAGAGATAGCATTAGTTTGGCATAATTTGTTTGCAACAAATCCATGCTGGCTCCTGTTAATTACAGCATGCTTATCCAAGTGCTTATAAACATGCTGCTTGATCATCTGTTCAAAGACCTTGCCCAGTATAGATGTCAGACTGACAGATCTGTGGTTTCCAGGTCTTCCTTCTTCCCCTTTTTGAAGATGGGGATAAGATTTGCTCACCACCAGTCTTTTGGGTTCTCACCAATCCTCCAGGAGTTCTCAAACATTACCAAGACTGGTTCTGTGATCACCTCCACTAATTCCTTCAGTACCTTGGGATGTAATCCTTTTGGCCCTAGAGACTGAATTCATTTAAATTAGCTAAATTCTTTCTTACCCTTTCATTGTCTGTCCTAAGCTGCATTCCCTCTTTCTCTCATTAGCCAACCATTATGATCTAGAGCTCCATTTCCCTTTTGAGAAACCACAGATACACAATACAAGTCAAGGACTTCTACCTTCTTATTAGTACCCATTACTGTTTCACCACTTTCTCCTTGGTATAGGCTTATATGCTCTTTGGCTTCATTTTATTCTGAATATACTCAAAAAACTCTTTTTTTCTTATTTTTGGTATTTCTTACAAGCCTTAGCTCATTCTGAGTTTTAGCTTTTTGGACAGAGTTCCTATATTTCTGGAGGCCACCTTGTATTCTTTGATTATGCTCCCCTCCTTCCATTTCTTAGACATGTCCTTTTTTCTCTTCAGCAAGTTTTTGATTATGTGCCATCAAGTTGTTTTCCACTCCTAGCAACCAGAGATACATTTTCTGCATGACGATCTATCCCTAACCTGTTCTTTCAAGTCTCCCAATGGTGCATTCATTGCCACTGTAACTGAGTCCATCCACCTTGCTGATGGTTGCCCTCTTTTCTTCCACCTTTCCCAGCCTCTGGCATCTTCCTATATTGCCACTGCCCAACAGAGGTACCTGCTTGCTTTAGCTGGGTAGCTTGGGTGACCTTCACACCTTGGGTGTCCCTGCTGGGATATTTCTCGCTCATGCCTCCAAG